TCAAGTTCAACCATCCTGTCCTCTTCATGGTCTACCATGAACAGTTCACTCTATGCTTCAAGTCAACTAAACAGGCCAAATAGTCCTGTAGGTGTAATTTCTGTTTACTCCAGAGTTAACAAAGGAAAATTGAAAGAGAGGGAGAAAGAAAAAAAGGAAAAAGAAGATAAACCATAACCTAAATCAATCACAGAATGATGGCAAAAAGGAGAAATAAGATCTATGGAAGTTTCATATCGGAAATAAGACAGCAATGAAAATGTACAAGAGGAACAATCATAGAGAAGAGGGATCCAAATAAGAATAAAACTGAGATTCCATTTCTAGATAAGAAGCCCATCCCGCATCAGCTAGGTGATCAGTATGATGCCTCCTGGAATGCTCTGGAGCATAGTTTCTTAAAAGAAAGAAAACCTTACAGTAGCAGGCTAAAAAAGGATTGATTCCAGACTATAAGAACCCTTACGAACAAATTCTAGCTGAAAAGAAAAAGCTTAAAATAGCTACATGAGGCAAATATGGAACTGACAGATTTTAAATCGTAGTTGGAAAAGGCCACCCAGAGTTAAGAAAGATTTGCTGTGAGGTCACTATTAGAAATGGAAAAGAAGGAACAAAGAGCTTTAGAAAGAATGAAGACCTGAAGTAGAAGTAGAGCTCAAATGCTACCAGACCTAAAAGCAGACAAATAAAAGTTAAAGGATGAAAATAGGGCATTGGTCAGTACTGAGCACACTTTCCAAATTAAAAAGAGAAGCAGCAAGTAATGGAACCACACATATTAGCAACCCAGCAGCCCATAATCGAGTCACTTGAAACCGGGGAAGAATCCTTGGAGACTATCATTTTCAGATATCCTGCCAAATGCCCACTTACCTAGGTTGTTTCATTTTTTTATTTTCTTGTATTGAGACCATTGTTCCATATTAATGCAGCTGCTGAGAGGTTTGTTTTAATGACTGAGAAAACTTGGTTTACAAGTCTAGGATATAAAGAAAGTGCTCAAGGCCAGATCTTCCTCAGATATTTAACCAATAAGGCTTAATTTTACATAAACACTTTCATGTCAATAAAAACTTTGAGCTCTCACAGAGGACAAGTATTCAACATTTTTGATGAGCCACAGTTTTGAGTTTTTCAATATATATATTTTTTTACTTTATATGTTTGGTTTTGTATTTTTTCCTTTCTAACTCTCCATGTGCCAGACTCTTCCATGTTTTCAGCTTTTTCATTTATAGAAAATGACACATGCTCTTCTGAGATCATTGTTATGTATTAATTAGGCTAATGTTGTGTTGTCTCTCACCTAAATTTCTTGGTGGAATATTTGCTTTCACTATGCAATATGCATTTATTTCCTGTGTAAAGCTTTAAAGTCAATTGAGATTAGACTCCTTTAAGCCCTATTTTCTGCCTTCATTGGTCAGTTTGTTTTTTATTATTGTAGTATAAGATATTAGATGCTGTAATCTTCACATTTTAGTAGGTCCTGAGTGATGCTGTATATATAGACAAGTGTCTTGTTTTGATCTTTAGACTACCACGTCATGCTTGACTATTTTCTTATTTCACATATCTGTTAATGCAAAGTAGGCTACTCCATAATTGTGTAAAAAACAAAATATGCTAGCATGAATAAAGGCTTTAAAAGGCATACAACAGGTGGAGCCCTATCCTTACAATATTTTTCTACTTTATTTTTTTAAAAGATTTTATTTATTTATTTGAGAGTGAGAGAGAGAGAGAGAGAGAGAGAGCATGAGTGGGGTAGGAAGGGCCAAGGAAGAGGGAGAAGCAGACTCCCCTGCTGAGCAGGGAGCCTGATGCAGGGCTCCATCCCAGGACCCTGAGCTGAAGGCAGACACTTAACCGACTGAGCCACCCAGGTGCCCTCATTTTTCTACTTTAAAGTGCTTTTACTTTTCTTTTCATTTTTTATTTCTTAGTGTTCGACCCCGATTAAGGTTGCATAAGGTAACTCTTTACACATCACATACCTAAATTTATCTGACTACTGTGTAAAACCCTGTGCTAGCCAAAGTAATGCTATGACAGCATTTGCAGACTTAACCTGTTATTGTTAAATGCATGTCATTGCCATGTAAAGAGACATTAATTTTGATACTGCCAACATCTTCCGACTACTTTATACATTTCAGTGGCCTTTTCTTTTTAAAAAAAGAGCAAAACCTGGGTTACTTGTATGGTTCAGTTGGTTAAGTGTCCCTCTCGATTTCGGCTCAGGTCATGATCTCAGGGTTGTGGGATGGAGCCCCGCACTGGGCTACATGCTCAGCAAGGAGACTGCTTGAGATGCTTTCTCTCTCCCTCTGCCCCTCCCCCACTTGCACTCTAAATAAATAAATAAATAAATGAATGAATAAATAAATAAAAATTTTTTAAGAGGAAAACCAAGTTCATAATGAAGATAGTTTTTTATTTGGAAAAATAGCTTTTCTATTCTCATTAAGCCATGGGAAAAAAATATCTAACAAATAACTGTCTCCTTAACCACTAAACAGTTTAGCCATTTGAATAAACCATACACTGTAAAGTTTATAGTGGCCAACTGTATTACTGATTGTACATATTAAATGTGTGTGTGTTCCTTCATTTTATTTTAAAGATTTTATTTATTCATTTAGAGAGAGAGCGAGCGTGAGTGGGGGAAGGGGGAGAGGGAGAGAAAGAATCCCAAGCAGACTCCATGCTGAGCATGGAGCCCAATGCGGGGCTTGATCCCATGACCCTGAGATCACAGCCTAAGCCAAAATCAAGAGTTGGATGCTTAGCTTACTGAGCCACCCAAGCACCCTTCATTTTATTTTTTTAAGAATTTTTTTATTGAAGTATAGTAGATATACGTTACATTAGTTTCAGGGGTACAACATAGTGATTTGACAATTCTATATATTATACTGTGCTCACCACAGTAAGTGTAGTTAACCATATGTCACCATGTTATTACAATATTACTGACTATATCCCTTATGCTGTACTTTTCATCCTTGTGACTTACTTTATAACTGGAAATTTGTACCTCTTAATCTCCTTCATCTATTTCACCCTTCCTCCTAACCCCCTCACTCTGGCAACCACCAGTTTGTTCTCTGTATTTATGATTCTGCTTCTATTTTGCTTAATCTGTTTTTTAGATTCCACATATAGGTGAAATCATATGGTATTTGTCATTCTCTGACTTATTTCACTTAGCATAATATTCTCTAGGTCCATCCATACTGTAACAAATGGCAAGATCTCACGTTTTTATGGCTGAATAATATTCCATTCCATATATAAATATATTTGTAACATCTTTATCCATTCATTTATCAATAGACACTTAGGTTGCTTCCATAGCTTGATTATTATAAATAATGCTGCAATAAAGATAAGGGTGCATGTATCTTTTTGAGTTAGTGTTTTTCTTTGAGTACCCCGTAATAGAATTATGACATCACATGGTATTGCTAATTTTTTGAGGAACCTCCATACGGTTTTCCACAGTGATTGTATCGATTTACATTCTCACCAACAGTGCATGAGGGTTCCCTTTTCTCCACATCCTCATCAACACTTATAATTTATCTTTTATTTACTGTCTTTTTAACACTAGCCATTCTGACTGGTGTGAGGTGATCTCTCATTGTGGTTTTGATTTGCATTTCCCTGATGATTAGTGATGGTGAACATCTTTTCATGTGTCTGTTGGCCATCTGGATGTCTTATTTGGAAAAATGTCTATTCAGGTCCTCTGCCCATTTTAATCATGTATTATTATTTTTGGTGTTAAGTTGTAGAAGTTCTTTATATATTTTGGATATTAACCCCTTATCAGATATATTGTTTGCAAGTATCCTCTTCTATGTAGTGTGTTTCCTTTTTGCTTTGCTGATGGGTTTCCTTTCCTGTGCAAATGTTTTATTTTGCTGTAGTCCTCATAGTTTATTTTTATTATTTCCTTTGCCTGAGGAGATAGATCTAGGAAAATGTTGCTAAGGCTGATGTCCAAGAGACTATTGCCTATGTTTTCTTTGAGAAGTTTTATGGTTTAAGGTCTCATATTTAAGTCTTTAACCCACTTAGAGTGTATTTTTGTGTATAGTTTAAGAGAGGGGTCCTGTTTCATTCTTCTGCATATTGTTGCCCAGGTTTCCCAACACCATTTATTGAAGACTGTCTTTTCCCCATTGTATATTCCTGGCTCCTTTATCAAAGGTTAATTGACCATATAAGCCTGAGTTTGTTTCTGTGTGCCCCTTTAACAGGTCATTGTGTTCTATTGCCCATTTTAGATTATTTTGAAACCGGAGTATTATTAAGTCAGTAGTTTAAGTGCCCCCTTTCTCAGTTAGTTTTAAGAAGACATATGGTATTCTATTAAACCAGCTCAGAGTCTTGGTTTTTAAAGATACAAAGATAGTTGTGGGGAGTTTACTTTTTATTATACTTAAACTGTATGAATAGTTCATCTGAATATAGAGTATTTCCGGGTCTTATGTGGATGTAACATATACAAATAATTGAATAATTAAATGCATGTTTCTAGTATTTCAGCATTTTCTATTTAGATTATGTATTCTTTGTATACCTAAAACTGAACAGCTACCATGCTATATTGATTCTACTGATAGTACAGAGCAGACCCAGTTTCTGCATGAAAATAGTTGCAAAAACTATTTTGGAAATAAAATGTATTTTGACACATACAAATAAAACTAAAACAAATAAAATAACTCCCATCAAATAAAATCAGGACCTGATGCCTCACTAATGAACTCTACCAAATATTTAAAGGAAAATAAACACACTCTTCTGCAAAATCTTCTAAAAAAACTGAAGAGGAAGGTATACTTCCAAACTAATTCTCGGAGCATTTTTCTGCTATCAGAGCCAGACTAAGATACCACAGAGAAAAAAACTACAGACCAATATTCCTGATGAGTATGAATATAAAAATTTTCAATAAAATAACAGCAAACAGAATTCAACACACATTAAAAGGATTATGCACCATGAACAAGTGGGATTTATTCCTGGAATGCAAGGATGGTTCAACATATGAAAATCAATGTAATATGGTATATGAATAGAATGAATGAAAACCACAGGATCACCTCAACTGGTTCAGAAAAAGCACTTGACAAAATTCAACACACTTTCATGATTAAATAAAACATTCAAAAAGTACAAATCGAAAGAAAATAAGGGCCATACATAAAAAGCCCAGAGTTAACATACTCAACGGTAAAATAATGAAACTTTATCTCTAAGATCAGAAACAAGACAAGAATGCCTGCTTTTGCCACTTATATTCAACATAGCACTGAAAGTCATAGCCAAAGCCATTAGGCAAGAAAAAGACACAAAAGTCATCCAAAACAGAAAAGAAAAATTAGCTGTTCTCAGATGATATCTTATATACAGAAACTCTAAAGATTCTACAAAACAAAAGATCTGATAAATGAATTCAGTAAGGCCGCAGGATACAAAATCAACACACTAAAATCTGCTTCGTTCCTATACACTAACATGGAAGAATCTAATACAGAAATTAATAATTCCAATTATTAATAAAATACACAGGAATAAACTTAACAAAGGAGACAAGACTTGTACACTGGAAAATTACAAACACAGCTGAAAGAAACAAAACACACAAATTGAAAGAAACCGCATATTCAGATTGGAAAACTTAATACATTTAAGATGTAAACATCACCCAATGTGATCTACAGACACAACAAAATTTTTATCAAAATCCCACCCAATGGCATTTTTTTAATTTTTTGCAGAAATAGAAAAATCCATCCTAAAATTCATATGTAATCTCAAGGGACTCTGAATAAACATACCAAGTATGTTTTCTGACCACAATGGTATGAAACTAGAAAATAACAAAGAAAACTGGAAACTCACAAATATGTGGAAATTTAACACATACCTGAACCAAGATATTTTACAAATATCTTGAAGCAAATGAAAATGGAAACACAATTTACTAAAACCTACTGGATGTAGCAAAAGCAGTTCTAAGCAGGCAGTTTATAGTGATAAATACCTACATTAAGAAGCAAAGATCTCAAACAACCAACTTTACACCTCAAAGACATAGAAAAAGAAGAAAAGATTAAGCCAAAAATTAGCAGAAGAAAGGAAATAATGGAGTCAGAGCAGAAACAAATGAAATAGAGAGCAGAGAAACAATAGAAAAGATCAACAAAACTAAAAGCTGGTTTTCTGAAAAGCAAAATTAACACACCATTAGTCACACTAAGAAAAAAGGAGAGAAGACTCAAGTACAATTAGAAATGAAAGAGGAGACAACTGATAACACAGAAATACTACAGAGCATAATGTCACTTAGAACAATTATGCCAACAAATTGCATAACCAAGAAGTAAATTCCTAGAAACATACAACATATGAGACTGAACCATTCATAAAAAATCTTAACAGACCAATAATGAGTAAGAGACTGAATCAGTAATCAAAAACATCTCAACAAAGAAAAGCCCAGGATCAGATAGTTTCACTGGTGAATTCCACCAAATATTTAAAGAATTAACAACAATCCTACTTAAACTCGTCAAAAAAACTGAAGAAGGGAACATTCCCAAACTCATTTTACAAGGCCAGCATTACTCTGACACGAAAGCCAGATAAGGGCACTACAAGAAAAGCCCAACATTTTTGATGAATATAAATGCAAAATTCTCAACAAAATATAAGCACACAGAATTCAACAGCACATTTAAAGGGTCATACACCATGATCATGTGATTTATACCTGGGATGCAAGGATGTTTTAACATATACAAATTGATAGAGGTAATCACCACATTAACAGAATAAAGGATAAAAAAATCATCTCAACATTTTGCAGAAAAATTATTTGTCAAAAATTCAACATCCTTTCATGATAAAAATTCTCAATAAATGAGTCACAGAAAGAATGTTCTTCCACATAATGAAGGCAACATATGGCATGTTCAGAGCTAACATCATAATCAGTGGTGAAGAAAGCTTTTCCTCTAATATCAGGAACAATGCAAGGATGTCCATTCTTGCCACTTCTATTCAACATAGTACTGGAAATACACGTTTTCTAGACATGATGTATTTTTCATGCCACTGTAACTGATACCTTTAAATTTTCATTTTATATCTATTGCATAAACTTTATTTTTAAAAACTTTATATACAGAAACATTGCTACTTTCTATTTCTAATAATTAACCTATACATTTTCATCTTCTATGCATATAATTTTATCAATAAATAATGTTTTATTGCTTTCTAATCAATTACACCAATTTTTTCTTGCCTGATTTTCCTGACTAGGTCTTTCAATGCAATGTTGAATAAAACTGGTGAGAATGGGCATTATCTTTTTTCCAGACTTTAGAGGGATAATTTTCTATACACCAATAAGTATTAAATTTTGCTATATTTTATGGTAATATATAGTACATATTATGTCATGATCAGATCAGTGAGGTTTCCTGGAAGGTAAAAAGGCAAAATGGAAGGCCCATGAGAAGATAAGAACTCTTGAGTCTTTATTTTCCTTACATATTTCTGTAAGTGTTATTATATTATCATTTCCTTCTCACATTTCTGTATGTTCCTGAGATCCTGATTTTCCCATGCTTCCATAAGGGCCAGGTAGGCGTTGGTGGTATAGTGGTTAGCATAGCTGCCTTCCATAAGGGCCAGGTAGGGCCAATTTCCATCAAGACCTCTCAAAGCAGATCACTCCATGGTACATGCCTGAAGGTTTTATTTCCCGGATCCAAATGGCCAATTATAGCCAGTATCAATAACCGTTTACAATGACACAAAGAATTTTCTCACACACATTTGCATATCTTTATGAGGTACGCTATGTCCTCTGCAGAGGTTCCCATACAGAGTCTTACTTCTCAGAGTAAACACTGGGGCCCTGCAGAGAAATGGTCAGCTAAGCAGGACATATGAAGGAATCAAGTAGGAACTTTCTGGCAGAAACCATATTTAGCCACACAGGTCACTATATCCCTGCTACATATGACTTCTCCCCATCAAGATGCTTTCCTAAAGATTCTTACAGAGAAGAGTTGGGCCCACAACGAAGAATACAGAAACATTTTAGAGATAGCAGGTGGGATTCATACCTGCCCATGTAGGCTATCCCAGGCATGTCTTCCACATTCCCTATGGATTTTCCTCTGAGGGCCACTCAATTCTCAGGAAAAAGAACTGGTGCTTTTGGGAAAGGGTAAAACAGGATCTGTGATGGTATCATACACGGTCTTTATGTGCAAGCACCACAACGTACATGTATTTGCAAAATAAAAAGTGAGGTCTCCATAACGTATGAATTAGGCCACCAGACACAAGGCAGTGTTAATGGAAAAAAGATAGAAAAGGAATTCAGGAGAATCAGAAACACAGTGTCTGGAATGCAAATCAAGTTTAAAGGTGTACATCTGGGTATTAGCAACCTCCTTCAAAAGAACAGAAAGGGAAGATAAAGGGGATAAATATGAGCTAAAAACATGTCTCTGCCAGAATTTTATATATAGATCAGGGAACAGATACTGTGGATGAAAAAAGGCTACACAATCGGTGAGTTACACAAGTTACACAATCGGTGAGTACTGGAATAAGCATTAAAACCCATGGCCATCTATGTCTTTTCATCACACCAAGTTCCTAAAGGGGAGGAGTAAAAGAAAGAAAATAGCAAGAAGTGTCAATTCCAAGATCCTGGGTCCATCCACTGACACAGATCAACTTATATTCTTGAAATAAAACAAAGATACCCCATTTATTGGACCTCATCAACCCATCTTTCCATCTATCTACAAGAATAATTTTACAGATACCCTTAGGAGTAACAATCAAATCCTTCCCCCAGGCACCGTTCTAGGTCATGGCATCTTTTGACTCAAGCTTTCTTCATGTCCTCTACAGGGAATTACTGCACAGCTATAATTATGCTAAGTTAACAATAACAATATTATCACATGTCCAATTCTTTCTATGTAACATAATCATAAATACATAACTTCAAAATAAACTATATATATGTAACTTGATATATTAATTATTCAGTTCACAATCTCAAAAGTTTTACATGCCATAGTGAAAATGCCCATTATTTATGTAACTGAGATGTCTGTATTATCTGATAAAAAAATTACATACATTAGGAAGTTTATTTCACTTGTAAAATTTTATCAGTAAAGATGCCCCCAAACTCATTGAAATTCATGGGTTTTGTGTTACTTATTAAGGCTTGAGCAGATACTGAAGACTTTTCTGTGCTTAGTCCATTCTTATGATTTTACCACTGCATGAATTCTCCGGTGTACAGTGAGTTGTGACTTTTGAATGAATGCTTTCCCACATACAGTACATTGGTAGGGTTTCTCCCCAGTATGAATTCTCCGATGTACAACAAGGTCTGACTTCTGGGAAAAGGCCTTTCCACATTCAGCACATATGTAAGGTTTCTCTCCTGTATGAATGCGCTGATGCCCTGGGAGGTGGGACTTCTGAGAGAAGGCTTTCCCACATTCACTGCATACATAAGGTTTTTCTCCTGTGTGAATTCTCTGATGTCCAATGAGATGTGACTGCTGACAGAAGGCTTTTCCGCATTCACTGCATTTATAGGGTTTCTCTCCAGTATGCGTTCTCTGATGTATGATGAGCTGTGACTTCCGGGAGAAGGTCTTCCCACATTCAGTACATTCATAAGGTTTCTCCCCAGTATGAATTATCTGATGTATAATGAGTTCTGACTTCCTGCTGAAGGCTTCTTCGCACTGAGCACATTTGTATGGTTTCTCCCCAGTGTGAATTCTTTTATGGATAATGAGGTGGGACTTCTCACAGAAGGCTTTCCCACATACAGTACATTCATATGGCTTCTCTCCAGTATGAGCTCTATGATGTATAATCAGCTGTGACTTCTGGGAGAAGGCCTTCCCACACTGATTACATTCATAAGGTTTCTCTCCAGTGTGAATTCTCTGATGTATAATGAGGGGTGATTTCTGGGAGAAGGCTTTTCCACAGTCATTACATTCATACGGTTTTTCCCCAGAATGTACTCTCTGATGTATAATGAGGGACGATTTCTGAGAGAAAGCTTTTCCACATTCAGAACATTCATAAGGTTTTTCCCCAGTGTGAGTTCTCTGATGTACAATGAGATGTGACTTCTCACTGAAGGCTTTCCCACATGCACCACAATCATATGGTTTCTTTCCAGTATGAATTCTTTGATGTATTATGAGTTGTGACTTTTTTAGAAAAGATTTTCCACATTCAATGCACAAACAGGTCTTCTCTCCACTTTCAACATTCACATATTGAATAAGAGATTGTTTATTGCTGATAATCTTTCCACACTGACTATCTTCACAGTGTTTCACTCCATTATGAATTTCTTCATGCTTAGAATAGGAAGAAATAAGTGTATTCCCACATCTAAAATGCTCACCAGTGTTTCTTTTTGCATAACCCCTGTAACAACTGAATAAGTTTATATTCGGTTCCAAGCTCTTTTCAAATGAGTCACGTGTATACCGTCCTTGTCCTGAAGCATCTAGGTCTGTGTAGTCATGAAACATTTTTCCTAATGCCTTATATGAATAGCCTGATTCTTCAACAACTGTTTTGTTTTTGATGGCCATGACTTGCCTGAGAAGTCTGTCTTCATTTTCCTGATCTCTCTCCAGCTGGTCATCATCCTGCCATACCTTAAAAATGGAGTACAATGAATGATCTCTTGTTACACCTTCCAATATCTCCTTATGGAAGGAAACACCTTCAAGTATGTCCAATTGAGGATTTTCAAGTCTAGTCTCCCTCTCTGAAAGAATAAAAAAAAATCAAACAGGTAAAAAGATTTAGTAGAGGACAAAAGAGGTTAAAAACAAATGGATGATACATGATGGTCCAGGAGACAGAGAATTGGGAGGGCAACGGGCCATTTGAAACGTGTAAATTTATCACATGAGTACCTAAAGATGGACTTTACTTCCAACAGTGGTGGCATGAGGTAGTTGAAGAATTCTCCTCCCCAAAAAACAAGTACAAAAATAAAATGATTAAAAAGCAAAAACTAATTTAGGGCACTGAAAAACTACCAATGGGAGGTAATAAGCTGAAAAATGCTTACTCACCCAAAACTTCTACTTCATTAGGTAAGAATGGGGAGCTTGTGGCATTCTTTCCTAAGGTTTTCCCATCTCCCACCCCTAGTTATGGGCATTAAAACACTAATCCACAGGATACAACTTAATGCTGTTAGTAAAGCAGCTAAAAACTTAATGGGAATTTGGAAGCAAAAGAGTCATAGAAAGGTTGAGATGATAAACTCTCCCTATACTCCCACCTCACCACTAAAATATTTGTGCAAAGATATCCTAGAGAGCCTAGCAGTGATTGAAAGTTTGGGGAGTCTTGCAAATTTGCTATACTTTTAAAGTGTTCTGACACATACACGACTCAGGCAGCAAAGAGTGAAAGCCACACTGGCTTCTGATGTCTACTACAACCTCTGTCCAAATCACTAGCTCACCTCTACTTTATCCAGGTGAAGGGGAGTCTCTTAGAGAGCCAGACTTAAACAAACAAACAAAAACCAGAGACATCAGCAATGACACTCTATGGGAGAGATAGATGTCACAGTATAAGCCCAAGCAAATTAAATGCCTCTAAGACAGAAAAGAAACGCTTGGAAGATCAGAAGAATCCAGACTACAACATATCATCTATAATGTAGAATTTTCAACCAAAAATTACTAGACATATAAAGAAACAGAAAACTGTGACCTAAACTAAGGAATAAAATCAGTTAATAGAAAGTAGCTCTACGTGGGTACAAATGCTGTATTTTGTAAACAAAGATTCCCAAAGAAGCTATTATAAACATATTAACTCAAAGGAAAAGACTGCTAGGCAATGAGTGCATAAATATGTAATTTTAAAAGAGAAAAAAGTATATAAAGGAACTAGTTTGACTATATGGAGACAGAAAGAGGAAATCTTGAGTATTAGAACTTTTTTGTATCATGATTGTGGTAGTAGTTAACTTACTCTATGCTTAACATTAATTTTGTGTAAGTAAGGGGCGCCTGGGTGGCTCAGTTGGTTAAGCGACTGCCTTCGGCTCAGGTCATGATCCTGGAGTCCCGGGATCGATTCCTGCATCGGGCTCCCTGCTCAGCAGGGAGTCTGCTTCTCCCTCTGACCCTCCTCCCTCTCATGCTGTCTCTCATTCTCTCTCTCGCAAATAAATAAAATCTTAAAAAAAAAAAACAACATTAATTTTGTGTAAGTTAAAACATAAATGAACCAAATGGAAAGTCTAAGGCTAAAATTAAAATTTCACCAGATGGGCTTATTAGATTTGAGAAAGCAGAAAGCAAGATCAGAATCAGTAAATTTGAGATATCACTAAAAATTAACTAACCCAAAGAACAAAAAGAAAAAAGGATTATAAAAAAATAAACAAAAATTCAGAGATCTGTGGTGTAATAATAGGCATTCCATCCAGTACATGTGTAACTGGAGTGGTAGAAACAGGGGAGAGAAAAAGGCAAAAAAAAGAAAAAAGAAAAAAGAAAAGAAAAATGTCTTTAAAATCACCCTATTTGGTGAGAAATGTTAATTTACATATCCAAGAAACTCCATAAAGTACAGGCAGGATACCTGGATAACTAGCCACATCAAAATCAAACTGCTGAGAAATGGAGAGAAAAAACTTAAAAGCAGTAAGAAAAAAAAATGACACATCATGCATAGGAGAAGCATAGTACTGCCAGCTGAGTTTCAACACAAAAACGCTGAGGCCAGGAAACACTGGAATGACATATTCAAAATACTAAAAGAAAGCAACCTGTCAACCAAGAATTCTATATCCAGTGAAACTCCTTTAAACATGGCAAAATAAAAGCATTTGCGGATAAACAAAAATATTTGCTAGCAGAACTGATTTACAAAATATACAAAAGAAAATCTCTCTGTCTGACAAAATAGTACCAGAAGATAACTTAAATCCAAAGGACACTAACAATTTTTTTAAGTGTGTAGGTAAATATAAGGAATTTAAAGATGTCTGCCTTTTCTCTTTTTCTTTTCTGTAAAAAGCTTTTTAAAGCACAAATAAAGAAGAAAAGATGACGGAGGAGTAGGGGACCCTATTTCAACTGGTCCGGAATTGAGCTGGATATCTACTAGACCACTCTGAGCACCCATGAAATCAGCCTGAGATGTAAGAAGATCTGGATCTCTACAAATAGAATATTGCAGGAGGTTGGTTTTGAGGGACCAAGTGGGGAGCCGTGATTCCACGGGCAGATACTGGAGGATAAATGGCAGTGGGAGGGAGCCTGTCCGTGGGGATCCTACACCACCGGTGAGCAACAGCCTCGCGCACTGGGGACGGGGCACAGACTTGCAGACTGGTAGTGGCGGGGAAAGGACTTTAGGGCAGCCCCCAGGGCGGAAACCTGGAGCGGCAGGGTCACATGCGTGCGAACTGGGAGCAGCTGGCAGTTTTAGAAGCACAAAGGGCAGAGACGTGCCCCAACCTGGAGGCAGGACTGGGAGCACAGAGGAGGGGCGCACAACCCAGGACGCTGCAGTTTATAGCAGCACGGACAGAAACGGAGACAGTGTGGCCTGGAGAGCTCACTGAAGAACAGACTGCGATCTCTCTGCTCTGAGGCAGAGGGCTGGAAATGGTCTCTTCTGCTCTGACTCTCAGAAGAGATGCGGAAAGCTGCCAGGGAAAGCCACCAGAGAACAAAAGCCCCCCAAAAATGATTCCCACTGAGCCCAACCCTGGCCACAGAGGGGCAGGGCAACTCTGCCCTAACAGGGTTGCCTGACTAACAGCATGGCAGGACCCTCCCCCAGAAGACAGGATGGGAAAACAAGAGGCCAGCAACCCTAAGGTACCTATAAAACAGGTGCATCTTGCTTAGGTTGTGGTCAATAATTTGGACTCTATACATTCCCTCAACCACCCATCAACAGAATGACAAGGAGGAGGAACCCCCAAAATAGAAAATATGTAGAAGTCATAGAAAATATGACTTATGCCACAGATTTACAAATGGATGCAGATATAACCAAGATGTCTGAGATGGAATTCAGGCTAGCAATTGTGAAGACAATAGCTACAACGGAGAATTCAATTAATGACAACATAGAGTCTCTAAGGGCAGAAATGAAAGCTGAATTGGCAGAACTTAAAAATGCTATCAATGAGATCCAATCCAATCTAGATAATCTAACAGCTAGAGTAAGTGAGGCAGAAGAATGAATAAGCGACCTGGAAGACAATTTAACAGATAATAAGGGAAAAGAGGAGGCCAGGGAAAAACAACTCAGAATCCCTGAAAATAGAATCAGAGAAATAAGTGACACCATGCATGAAGTGTTCCAATGTCAGAATAATTGGAATTCCGGAGGGAGTGGAGAGAGAGAGAGGACTAGAAGATGTATTTGAGCAAATCGTAGCTGAGAACTTCCCTAATCTGGGGAATGAAAGAAACATTCGCGTCCTAGAGGCAGAGAGGACCCGTCCCAAGATCAGGAAAACAGGCCAACACCCTGGCATGTAATAGTAAAACTCGCAAATCTTAGAACCAAGGAAACCATCTTAAGGGCAGTTAGGGGGAAGAGATTCCTTACATACAGAGGGAGGAACATCATATAATGTCAGACCTATCCACGGAGACCTGGCAAGCCAGAAAGGCCTGGCAAGACATATTCAGGGTACTAAACGAGAAGAACATGCAGCCAAGAATACTTTATCTGGCAAGGCTGTCATTTAGAATGGATGGAGAGATGCAGAGCTTCCAAGACTGGCAGAAACTGAAAGAATATGTGACCACTAAGCCGGCCCTGCAAGAAATATTAAGCGGGGTTCTATAAAAGGAGAAGGACCCCAAGAGTGATATACAACAGAAATTTACAGGGACAATCTAAAAACAATGTCTTCACAGGCAACATGATGACAATTCATTCATATCTTTCAATAATCACTCTCAACGTGAACGGCCTAAATGCTCCCATAAAACGGCACAGGGTTGCAGACTGGATAAAAAGACAGGACCCATCCATATGCTGTCTACAAGAGACTCATTTTGAACCTAAAGATACATCCAGACTGAAAGTGAAGGGATGGAGATCCATCTTCCATGCCAGCGGACCTCAAAAGAAAGCTGGGGTAGCAGTCCTTATATCAGACAAATTAGATTTTAAACTAAAGTCTGTAGTTAGAGACACAGAAGGACACTATATCATTCTTAAAGGGTCTATCCAACAAGAAGATCTAACAATTGTAAATATCTATGCCCCCAACATGGGAGCAGCCATCTACATAAGCCAACTGTTAACCAAAATAAAGAGTCATATTGATAACAATATGTTAATTGTAGGAGACCTCAATACTCCACTCTCAGCAATGGACAGATCATCTAAGCAGAAAATCAACAAGGAAACAAGAGCTTTGAATGATACACTGGACCAGATGGACCTCATAGATATATACAGAACATTCCACCCTAAAACAACAGAATACTCATTCTTCTCGAGCACACATGGAACTTTCTCCAGAATAGACCACATACTGGGGTCACAAATCAGGTCTCAACCGATTCCAAAAGATTGAGATTATTTCCCGCATATTCTCAGACCACAATGTTTTAAAACTGGAACTCAATCATAAGAAAAAATTTGGCAGAAATTCAAACACTTGGAAGCTAAAGACCACCCTGCTCAAGAATGTTTGGGTCAACCAGGAAATCAAAGAAGAACTTAAACAATTCATGGAAATCAATGAGAACAAAAACACAT